CTCTCTCTCTCTCTCCTCTCTCTCTCTCTCTCTCTCTCTCTCTCTCTCTCTCTCTCTCTCTCTCTCTCTCTCTGAGAGGCGGAGGCGCCATGAGAACAGGCTAAGTAGAGCACTGGAGCATAACCCAGGAAGGTTCAGGCTAAAATGGATCCAAGCATAACATCAACACCAGAAAATCTCTCCAACATGCACAGGGACAAAGTCCTGGAGGCACACATCTGTACACATCTGTACACATCTGTACACATCTGTACACATTTGCATATAAATTGTCCTAAACTTAAGACCCAGTGCTTCAAAGGCTTCAATTAAATCTTTTTTTGTTTAGCCACCATTCTTTAATAATATTGAATGCTGCTCTATTTTAGCCCCATCTGAGGTTGAAAACTGTTTTTTTGCATGTTTTAGCTGTACATTACAAACTGCAATGGCATGATTGGTGGTGATTGTTGCTGAGAGTCACTAAGTTCAGTTTGTGGTAAAAAAAAAAAAATGGGGGGAAAGTTGAAGGTCCTGCATGTGTCGGCTGCAGTCACAGTGATCTGAAGGACCTTCTGATGAAAGGGTTTCCTGCGGCTTTCATCTCCACAATGTGTTTTGATGGGGAGAATTTCCTCGCAGCTGAGTAAAAAAAACCCAGAAAAACAGCAACATGTGAGAACAGACTTCACTCATTGCAGCGTGCAGTGAGTGAGACAGACTTTTGGTTTCTCAAAGTCAAATACAGTGTTTAGGAGAACTCATACGCATGCAAATAAGACGGGTTCAAGTTCTGTGTTATTGTGCAGAGATGTGTGAGATGACAAACAAGTGACGGGCTGCGCTACAGTGTATTGGTTTCAGAAGTATTATTAGTGTTCGAGGACTCAAAATTGGTCTTGGTCTCCAGACCGCACTCGAGACCACTTTTTGAAGGTCTTGGTGTTATGGTCTTAGTGAGTGACGCCCCCTGCACACAAGATGATGATTTTTCAGTGATATTTATGGTCTTGGTTTTGTCTCTGCCTCGATCCCTACATGTCTTGGTCTTGTCTCGGTCTTGGAGCACTCTGGTCTCAGGTATGTCTTGGTCTCGGTTATTGTGGTCTTGACTACAACACTAGTTAATATCCTAGAAATGTCTAAGAGCAAATATTTCAGTAAGGACTACAGACATCTGCCTGCATGTATAGTTTGATAAAAAGAGCTGAAGGTACAAATGATTGTTTTTGAATACAACTCCATGTGCTAAGTGAATTGTGAAACTCCATTTTCTAAAAAGTTTGGACGGTTTGAAGGATTTAAATCAAAACAGAATGTGATTTACAAAACCCTGATGGCCCATACTTCATAGAAAAATAACTGAACAACATTTCAAATGTCCAACTAAGGAATGTTGTTGTTTTTGGATGTGCCCTTTTGGATTTTGATGCCAACTACATGTTTCAAATAAGCTAGGACAGGGTCCTTTGTACCTCTCTGTTGCATCACTTTTCTTTGAACAACACTTCACGAGTGTTTTGGAAAGCGAGCAGACCCATTTCTGTCATTTGATTGTGTAATGTTTCACCCTTCTTGCTTAATAAGGTTCTAGCTGTTCAACACTGTGTCATTCGTCTTATTTCACTGAAAAAGAAGTGGTCTACTCTCAGCATATGTTGCTCCTAAACCTGTAAATATGGTTCAGCATTACTGAATGTGCAGGTTAGCCAGGTGCACTAATGCACCGCTATACCATCATGAACCTCTCCCCATGTTGCCTTCAGCTCCTTGAGGATCCTCTTTTTATACCCACTTATGTCACTTACTTGTTGCCAGTTAACCTTGTTAACGGTGAGATGTTCCAGCAGGTGTTTTATTTAGGAATTTCATAATTTTTCCAGCCCTGTCACTACTTTGAAAAAGTGAGTTTTTAGGAGCTTTGTCTGGAAAGTGTAAAAGTGATTTCAATTCAGATTCTGCAAAAGTTCGAACTGACCTTGTCTCCAAAGAAATATTGGATGTTGTACCATGTCCAGATAGTGGTTTTGCATTGTCTCGCTGAAATAAGAAGGTCTTCCCTGAAAAAGAAGGGCTCTACTCTCTACCTGTAAATATGGTTCAGCTTTACTGGAGCCTTCACAAATGTGCACTAATGCACCTTCACACCATCACGAATGCTGGTTTTTGGACTGAGAGCTGATAACAAGCTGTATGGTCCCTCTCCTCTTTAGCCAAAAAAAACCTCTCCCTATGTTGACTTCGCTCCTTTAGGATCCTCTTTTTAGACCCACTTATGTCACTATAAGCTGTTCCTTAAGTTCGATTGTTGCATTTTCTGATGAAGGTTAAAAAAGACACAAAATCGACCCAGCGCCCCTCCTTTTCGTTTTGACGGTAATGCTCAGTGCATGTTGGATGGTGCATGTATCTGTCCACATGTGTACACAGCTGTTTACGCTCCCTCTCTCTCTAATGTCCTCAGTGAAACTCTGCAGCTTTTCTAACAGGCTAACCATGCTGACCTGCGTCCTCATCATGTCCATCTCTTTCTCTCGCCTTCCTTCATCAGAGCTCGACGTTCCCTCTGCTATCGTCCCTCGCAGGCTCCTTTATGTCCCTGGCAGCCCCCTTGACAGACATCTTGGCTCATTGTGTGTGAAGGTGTCTTTGTATTGCTGTGTAATGGTGCCCTGAGATACTGTTGCCAGAGTGTTTGTCTGGGTGTCTGTTCCCCTGCTGCCCCTGAGACCCCAATATCCACCGCCTGTGAGCGGAGTTCTTCACTGAGCGATGATGTGCTTCTCCCACTCACTTGCTCTATTTGCATCTCTGCTATTTATCTTTTTCTGTAGTTTCTCATCATCTATGCTCCCGGCGCCTTACTATATTAGACATAGCTGATAATACAGTCAACCGCGTGTGCCCTCTTTTCACTTTGCATTTTCATCAGCGTGCTGTGAGTAGAGGGCAGGGGGCTACAGTGAGAATTATGCTTTTACTGTAAGTACGTGAGGTATGTTCAGTTCTCCTCTAAAACCCCTTAGCTGCCCCTTCAGCTCTCACCTATCACCCCACTGCAGGCCGATAAAGTCCTATAGTGCGCCCCCCCCCCCACATGCTGTTTTTCCACATTCTGTTTCCCTGGTTCCTACGGTTCCAGCAGGACCGATTCCAGACCCCCCCTCGTCTCCCTCTCTCTGCGACCAAAACCTTGCCAGAGCCCACTCAGGCTTAGAAGGGTGGGGGAGTCCTAGCCTAGTTACCATGGTTACGGCAATCAGCATTATGAACTCCATGCTTTGAATGAGAAACTTTCCAGCCCTTAAGCTCCTGCAACATGCTGTTAACATGTTATTAATAGATGTATGGAGAGGGGTTCAGTTGCTGTTCAAGAAGTTTATTTGGAGATTGTGTCGGACTTCTACGCATCAGAAACTGCAACTTGTTTTCTTGTTTTTCTACAGATGATAGATATTTCTTTAAACTACCTCTGATATGAACACTTTCCATATTAATATGTGCATTTGACATCAGGAAGAAGTATGTATGTATATGTATAGGCCTACTTAAAGCCTGGTTGGAGCTCAGTGCATGCTCTACAGAACATCTATGTTCTTCTTGTTTTTATGGGGTAACATGTCGGCCTGTGTGCTGGGAGACTCGGCATAGGTGGCACAGTGAAAAAGTCATATTTGAAAAAAGGCTTTTTAAAGGCCACATTAAGTGGTCAGCCTGCAGACATTGCCCAATTATTGCATGGTCTGTCTTTGAATGGAGTTGTGGAAAATATGCTCCTCTGTGTGTTTTCTTATTTTATTGCATTGGCTTTGGGAAAGTTAAACAATATCAATACCTGTTTCGACACCACAGCAACAAAAATAGAATTCCTAAGCACCCCATATTGGGCTATTCCTTGTTCTTAATTACCAAAATTGCAGGAAAAATTCCTTCGCGCTGTAAAAGATGCACAAACATTTCACATTGCACAAACACATTTCAGTGCGAACATGTTTGTAGAATTGAAGAAAGTGTCTCCTCCTCTGCTCTCAACTTTTACATCTTTAAGAGACACCAGCAGGATTAGAGAAACATTAGTATTTGCAGACCCGTTAATTTAACGGACCACCGCTGCTGTCTCTCCGTTTGTGTTTAAAATATCTGTATCTTTTTTAAAGCTTTGGTACTTTTTAATACTATGGATCATTAAGAAATCACTTTAAAACTTGTTGTATCCCAAAGTATCAATGAATGGAACATTTAAACAGCCTTAGTGGACAGACTCCTGCTATAGTGAAGCTCTCTGTTAATGGGGGGTCGGTCAGTCCTCCCTGTCCCGTCTGAGCACGTGCAGAACGCTGCTGCAAGATTTTCTAACAGCTACCCAAAAACATATCTTCCCCGTTACCTGCCTCAGTCCTCTTGCTCCCTGTTGGTTTTGGAATGTATTTCCATTTTTTTTGTTCACTTGATGGATCAGCTACTTCATATTTATCAGACCTCTTCTGTACAACCAACAATATCACTCAGTTCCTCCGAGCGGTCAGCTCGTCGTCCCTCTGGCTCGACTCAGGGGGTTGGCCGTGGTGGTCTCTGTTTGTGGAACAACATTTCAAGAATTGCATAGATTTTTGCGTTATTTATTGTTTCTATCTTGATATTTATCTTTTATTATTATTATTTTTTTTACACTGTTTAATTTGCTTTTGTTGTGAAGCACTTTTTTTTTCTTTGCCCTGTTTTAAACGTGGTTTACAAATGAATTTCAGTTGACTTGACTTGACAGCTCCCTCCTACATGTGAAGCGTTGATCATTTCCTCCTCAGCCCTGTGTGCACTACACTGGGCTGCTCTCCATGAGCTCATTAAAAGAGTGAAAAGAGCCTCCTCTCTATTTTCACAAAGACATTTTTATTCATGGCACAGTTACGATACAAACTACGGTTTTATTAAAGCACCAGAATCGCTCAGTGTGGTATTATAGATTTAAATATTTAAAACATCTGATATCTTACCATACCATGCGTTTCTTCTTCCCACAGGGCTCCAGAGATCATCCTCGGCCTGCCGTTCTGTGAGGCCATAGACATGTGGTCCCTGGGCTGTGTGATAGCTGAGCTCTTCCTGGGATGGCCCCTCTACCCCGGAGCCTCAGAGTACGATCAGGTAACACATAATGACTGATTGGACCTTCAAACTGTCTCCTGACCCCCTGAGCTAGCTGCTGTGTGCTTGAATGATTGACCCATGCATCCAAGTTTATGTGCATGCATTTCTGTGTTTTCTCTCAATGAGTGTGTTGGTGCGTGCGTTTGGGAGGGCGGGATGCCTCTCATATCCCCCTGACATCCCCCTGATGATGCTTGCGCAGCCTCCCTGTTTATCGGAACAGATGCCACAGAGCCACTTGTCCAATTAGCGCAGCCCCTGTGCTCCAGAGCAAGACATTGCCGCACTCCCCTCTCTCTATCAGTCAGACGAGGCTCAGTGGGGAAACCTTGAGCGAGTTGTGCTCCATCACTGAACAAGCTCGCCTGATTTTTTCACAAGCCCAAAAACTTAGCAAAGTGTCTCATTTACAAGTCTCGAATCAATCTCAGACTCTTGAGCTGAGGTCATGTTTTGGTGCTTTGCATATTTCAACCAGATAAGTCTGGAGAAGTTAATGTCAGCGAAGATTTTAAAGTGCCAAAGGAGCATCCTTCCTAAAGTTTTAACCTTGTTTTTTTTTCTTCATCTGCAGGAAAGATTCACGGTGTTCCCCAATTAGATGAGACGTATGGTTCAATCATGCATGTGGTGTGTGAAAAATCTCACATGCTTTTCCCCATCTTCTGTCCTGCAGATCCGGTACATCTCACAGACACAGGGTCTGCCTGCAGAGTATCTGCTGAGTGCAGGGACAAAGACCACCAGGTTCTTCAACAGAGAGACAGACTCCACCTATCCTCTGTGGAGACTTAAGGTACAAATTCAGATGCACACAAACACACAAACTCCAAGCACCAAAAATAAACTTCCAGGAATGGGTGATATTTTTTGCAAGCAATATCTATTGTGGATATAAGGAACTGTGGCCACACCGTGTGAGCCATTAACAGCCCTGTTTGTGGAGGTGAACAAGGTGAAGGGGTAATGAGAGCTGATTTGAGAAGATTTGCAGGGGAAACCTAATTTCAGCAAGATTATTTGTCAAATTTCTTGTCAAAAATATCGCATTACAATTATTTTAAGCCACATGTAGCTGACAAGTCCAGCAAAACATCTTGAGATAATAACTGCAAAAAAAGCCAAGTCATGAAGCAAAATTTATAGCAATTTAAAGTAGGACCCGACCGATATGATATCTGGGGCCAATATCGATATTGGGGAGAGGGAAAATATCGGATACCGATATATATCGGCCGATATCTTTCTTGGATCTGTAGGAATAGATATAGATATGTATAGTCTCTCAACTGGAATGTAACTGCGCATGAACGTGCGTCACTGCTTGTCAATCTGGAGAGTGACAATGCTTGTAGTAATCCATATAGCGCCCTCTGCTGGTGAAAGGTAACAGCTAGTGTTATACAATGAAACTCAAATTAAATGCTCTTTGACTGCTATATAAATCTAGTAATCTCTCCGCATATCAGCGATATAATCTGCCGATACCGATAGTCACTGGATAAGCTAAAATCGGACGATATTATCGGCCGGCTGATTAATCAGTCGGCTAATTTAAAGCAAATTTTACTTTAAGTGTCTCAAAATAACATGTACTAAATAATTTATATGTAGACTTTTTTTTTGCCCTTTCCATCTCTGAATGAGATTTCTGTCTGGACTTATCAGGTGTATCTAGATATGTTTGATAGGAAAAAGACAAATACACTTGATATAAGAGTTGAGTGTTTGTAGTGTTGCATGTTGAAGTCCAGCTTAATGAGCCCAGCTCAGAGTGTGTTTGCTCGTACCTCTACTCACTGTCTTTCAATGTCGGCCACTCCATGAGGAGGTCTGAGCTGCTCCTTTTATTTAACTTAACTTTAACTTTAACTTTAACATGTGAATGCACTCACTGAGTTCTTGACCCTATCGAGCTGCAAATAGCGATCCATCTCTGCAGGGTGTGGTATGTACTGTGCCATGTCTTTCAAAGAGCTGTATGCATTTGTTTTCTTTAAATCTCAGTAACATGCCTCACTGACAACAACTGATGATGACTCGTCTTATAAATGAGCTCATATGAAAACACAGAGTAGTACATAGTGTACATGCTGTCATGCATGCTGTCCATGGGCTTTTAGCAGCTGTCAGCAGAAGCTGCACGACTTCTCCTGTTTTTTCAGCTGAAACTGGAGAATTTTTCAGTCTCCTCTTAAAGGTGCATGACCTATTGAGTTATGAGGAATTAAAACACAACCCTGTTGGTTTAAACACGAGTGTATCCAAGTTCCTGAAGATAAGAGTGAACAAGAACATTCAAGGGAATGCTGGCCTTACACCATATGACAAAGTCACAGACAAATTTCCAAAGTGGGAATAAAATCGTGAGAGTTTTGCTAGAGTTGGGGCGAGCTCCTGTGATCTCGGTCGTTTGGTGTGAGCTCGTCTTAAAAATCAAGCCGAGCTGTTTGAAGGCAGTCTTTTACTTTGTTTTAGCGTTACAATAAAATCAAACAGGTTTAATATTATCGCAGGTCTTGAGTCTTGTCTTATGCTACTTGTGTTTTTCAAAGGGGTGACCTTAGTCAACAGCCAATAGGAGCAGTCTTATCAGCAACAAACAGGAAGCTGCAAACTCGTCAACATGGTGTAAAGTTTACATTACATTCAGGATCTAATGAACCTTTTTCATTCATCCTAAAAGTGGTACATGTGTTAATGTGTAGGGTCTTATATATTTTCATGGACTTGCAAAAACAGATCATCTTCAAATGCATCAAATTTAGACGACAAGATGTTAAAAGTAATGTCACCACATGTGTAGGGTTTTTTCCCCTCTTATTGTGGATTGATTTTAATGAGTTTATGCCTCGTGGTATTTATAGACAACTATGCATGATGGGAAGAAATCTCAAAAAGAAGCTAGTTGTAGTCTTGCAGTAGGTGACCCTGCGAGTTCCCCAAGTCTTTTGCAAAATCTTACTCAGTGTCACATTGTCTTTACATATGAGAGGGTGTCAGACATCAGACTTTTAAAACCTTAGTAAAAATCTTCTGGTGTATGTAAGGCATTAGGAGAAACAGAACGATATTAGCTTTTATTTTGAAAAGTGATACTCCTGTTGTTTTTCTAGAACCTAAAGTTTACCACTGCAGACTAAACGGCACCCTAAAAACGTTTTAAACCAAGTGGGAAGGTATTGATAAGCATTCATTTGACTTACTCACTCTGTGTTTACAGCTGCTGTAATTGGAAAGATAAACTATGATCTTTTAAGAGGTTTCTATACTCAACACAGATTCATTTTTGTTTTTTTAAATGTGCATCCTTTGTTCATGCTTCTCTGTGGATGATTCAGTTTTAGTAAATGTGTGCTTGTGTGAAACCAGAGTATGTGCAGTGCACTTTCAATTTTGTATATTGTCTCAGCATTGGAGTGTGTGCCTCCCCCCCCCCACCTTCCCTGGCTGTTAGATGAGTGTTTGTTTGCTACCCCAGGGTTGCTCAGAGGGCAAGCCGAGTCCTGCTGCACATCAACAACAAGAGGCTGTAATGAGCCAAATGTAAATAGTGCGTTTCCAGAGGGGAAGTGTGATGGGATATGAGAGGAACATCTGCTTCTTGTCTCCAACAGACTCCGGAGGACCACGAGGGTGAAACAGGGATCAAGTCCAAGGAGGCTCGCAAGTACATCTTCAACTGCCTGGATGACATGGCGCAGGTATGCTGTTCAGCTTTTTTCAAAGCACGTGTCCTCACTTCACCAAAACCTGGACATGAGATGTTAGTATTTGCTTTGTCTCCGTCTTTAACCTTCTCATATTTGAAGCTCCCGCCGACAGGTCTGCTCATGTCCCGGGACAGTTTGATCGATCACATCCTGAGAATTATCAATCAAATATGTGAAATCCTTTAAAATATTTACGCTGCCAAAGCCTGGTCTCCAGATCTATCGCCGCTGTGCATGCTACATTGAATTTTTACAGGGTGAAATGAAAGCAGCTGTTCAGAGAAAACCCCTCTCCTGCACTCTGCCTCTGCTCCTCATTCTACTTAACCGCTGTCTAATAAGTTACAGACTGACATTGGAGCTGAACATGTGGCAGGGCTGGTTAGCGTGTTTGATATGTGCAGTTTGCTTTCTTACTCAAGCTGGATGCGAGTGTTGTGGCTATGCCCCCCACTTTGTACATCTATAGAACATGTGATCATGTCGAGGGCGGGGCCACAAAAGGTTTGATTCCCTCTGCTCGTCTTTATAACTCAGTAACACGTTCCAGAAGTCCCCTCCCCATTTTTCACACCAGCTCAGCGGGTCGTGCATAGTGTTGTGTCTGCTAGCCTCTCTCCCTCTGCAGCCCGACATGTCACCTGTGGGAATCTGTTTGTTTAGATGGTTCTCGCATAACCCCAGGAAGTGACTTAAATAGAGGCTTAAATATGGAAAAACACTGCAAACTGATCTTATGGCACTTTGACTCAGAGGGAGTTCATCTCTCTTCGTGGCGGGAAAGTTCACATGCAGCCACGACATCTTGATAGTACGTGCGTGACAGTGAGGCCATAGTGACTGTTGTTTTGTTCGCCCTCGCCGGCCAAATACTGGTCCTGCTGGCACACATGGCAACGCTCATGGAAAATTACAATGTTCTTTCCAGGACCCTTTTCGAAGCTGTGACAGTACTCTCTTGTCATCATGCGCCTCGATCCTGCCTCTGATAGCCAAGAGAGATAAGAGCTAAGCAGGTGAATTGTTTGTGTTTGGAATATGGCCACAGACAGCCAGCAGCAGACTGTGCAAACTGTGCATGTGGGTACATCACACATACAGTGACTTAAGTGATGGAGACAATTATGGTTGTCCAGTAGCGCCTAGGGCCGATGTCAGGCCTGTCTGGAATAGCATGCAGTCAGCTGGGACAAGATAGTATCGTTGCCTGGGCTTGCTGAATTTACAGTTACACACACACACACACACACACACACACACACACACACACACACACACACACACACACACACACACACACACACACACATGCAGCACTGGATTTTAATGAAACCAACCTGCACTGGTATGATATCCCCTGGGTCATCTCAGTCTCCTACGCTTCAAGCTCTGTGTCCCCGTCTTCAGCTCACCATGAAAACACAGAGGAGTCACAGCAGAGCTGCACAAGCCTAATGTGGGAGAAAACTGTTTATTTTGCCCCCATCTCACCATCCCGACCATATAAACAAGTCAGCATTGTGGACATCTGTGTCTGCGTGTATAATGGATGATATAGCTGAAGGCCCTGAAAGACAGAGGGGGCTGGGTGCCAGGGAGAGATAATGAACCTCCTTTGAGTCGTGGGAAATGTTGGGAGGCTTTAGTCACAAGTATATCTAATTTGAGTAAATCAGACACCAACTAACAGCCATTGCAGGACCTCGCTGGAGGCTGGGATGTAGACGGAAGGAAGGCCGGCGCCGCTCGGAAAAATTGGATTCACTTTGATCTGCAATCCTTCAATATCTGAGTTGATAGGAGTGAAGCCGAGGCAAGAGGCGCAGCATGGTCTTATTGTCATCTTTCTTTTATCACACGCACTCATAACTACACATCTCCTCTCCTCTACTTCTCTCCTTCCACTGAGGAAATAAAGTTTACGGCTAAATCTGCACACGTTGTTGGTTTCTGCTGCTGCAAGAACACAGGCCTGCTACCTCTGCATGCCGAGGCTCCACATCTCCCGAGGCGCAGCCCGATCTGTCTCACTGCTCGACATCTGCCATGGCTGCCCGCTCTCCAGAGCAGCATGTCAGAGCTCCGCGCTGCACAGATGTGGCTCCATAAACAGACGTTGACATGCAAGACACGCAAGGCTGACCGCGCTGGTTGAAACTCCTCGTCCTAACTGTTTCTGGGAGGCGATTTCTACTTTAGAAGTAGAAAATGTTCAATAATGCCGTTATCGATAAGCAATAAAACATGAGCATATTTTAAATCTAGTAATTCCAGTGGAAAGATGTGAGGTGAATTATTTTTGTGAACAATCTGGTCATTAGGGCACAGCTCAGCAACCTCTCACCTGCTGTGGATGTTCAACCAAACCGTGTTTACTTCCCAAAGTCATCTCTCCTGCTTGCCAGAGGACAGTGTGATTATTTGTCACCCATTCTGCAGATTATTCCTTTATCAAAGCCAGTGGAGATGGCGAGCAGGAGAGGAATGGTTACAGAGCCTGAATAACCTGCATAGAGAAAAGAGAATTGAATCAGATTTGCGGTGTTGACTGGCAGCACATCTGATAGCCCCTGGAGCAGGCCTACAGATAAGCACCGTGTCTTTATTAAAAAAACAGGCCTGCTACCTCTGCATGGCAGCAACAATAAACAAGGCTGGCTGTCTGCTGCCACCTCGTCCCCCGCCTCTGTCCTCCACCGTCTGAAAAAATCAGCTTCTTCGCTAATGCTCAGAATTGCTATAACGTGACCTTGCCCCACTTTCTTCATTTATCACCCGACGTGACAAGTCTGTAAGTAAAGCCCAGTAGCTCTTCATGAAGCAAAAATCTGATCTGCCAAGAACTTATTCACGACATAAGCTGCAATGTTTAATACAGCTGAAGCAACACGATGTTCCAAAGCGGCTTCCCAGAATTGCTCCAGAACATATTTAGATATATGGGTTAAGTTGTCTCATGTCACCGTCCTCAGAGGTTCTCACAAAATGGTGTTCTTTGTGAAAAGGGGTTTCAGAACGACGTGCCAATGGCTGCATTTATCGGGTTCATGTTTTTTTGTTTGCTTTCACGTCTCAGGAATAGATAAAAATCTCAGTGAAGGCGCCAGGAAACATCTCAAGTGGTGCTAAAAATACAAGTGCAAATGTTTAAAATGTCACAAAGGTGCAAGGTTATCACACACACACACACACACACACACACACACACACACACACACACACACACACACACACACACACACACTGAGGCACTAACTGATGAGGCCTTGTGAGTATTAATATGCCTCTGTATGTGAATATTCTCTAGGAGAGATTTTTCTTTCTGGCGCTGCAGAAACATTCTGGGGGCCTTGAATCCTCAGTAAGTCATTGAAAACGCTGAGACGTTTTGTGTGTTTGTTTGGCGTCTCCAGGTGAACATGACGTCAGACTTGGAGGGCAGCGAGATGCTGGCGGAGAAGGCCGACAGGAGGGAGTTCATCGACTTGTTGACTAAGATGTTGACCATCGACGCAGACAAGAGGATCACCCCCATCGAAACGCTCAACCACCCCTTTGTGACGATGACGCACCTCCTCGATTTCCCACACAGCACACAGTACGAGGCCAACAGACCATGTTGTTGTTGTTGTTTATATTAATAATTAGTCTGTTATACAGTAAGTGCTCATTCTGTCTCTCTGCGCAGCGTCAAGTCCTGCTTCCAAAACATGGAGATCTGCAAGCGCCGTGTCAACATGTACGACACAGTCAACCAGAGCAAGACACCCTTTATCGCCCACGTGGCCCCCAGCACCTCCACCAACCTCACCATGACCTTCAACAACCAGCTGAACACTGTGCACAGCCAGGTACATCACAAAACAAACAGTCTCTCACCCAGCATGACACGCAGCCCATTTGATGCATGCACTCACCAGTATGTAAATCAGTTTAGCTTTGGTTTCCTGCATTTTCATGCTTTGCTCCAATAGAATTATCAATGAATAACATGCATAACATATGCTGCTGGAAGTCGATAAAAAGCACAGATTAAAGTGGAAGTCCACCCGACTTCTTAAGAGGAGTCCTGCAGAGTGTATTCACGACAATTCTTGAGTGTTTTACACGTTTCAGTATATGTCTTCATAAACTCATGTGCATCATAATAGATGATTAGAGCCAGGCTGAAATCCTCCAGCAACAACATGACAGATGGATGTTCCTAACACTCCCCTCGCATGCTGTCTTTAGCAAATAATTGTGTTTTAAACACTCACTTGTCTGATGTTGAACAGCTTAGCAGAGCGTGAGCTGCTGTTTGTCTCTTTGTTCTATTTTTTTTCCTCCCCATTCTTCCCGTCTGTCTGCACGTTTCCATGCTTACCGGCCTGCCTTTCTGCCTTGCGTGGATGTATATCTGTCTGCCTGCATTTCGGTCTGTGCCTCAGGTCCTGTGGGATTGTCACAAAGTGCTGATTACACACATGACAAGCCCCCACTTCCTGCTTGCCTTGCATTCTGGGGCTTTCAGGCCTTAAGAATCCCTTTACCAGGCTTCCTCTCCTTTTCCCCCTCCTCTCGCTCCGGTCCTCCTCGGTCTCCTCTTCTCTTCTTTTCCTCCCTCACCGTTTCTCCGGGTTGAGCCTGTGGTGCTTTACCGCTTCGCTCCTGTACCGTCTGTGAATCGAAACTGCTGACATTCGGCTTATGCCGGAATCACCCTGCCTCGGTTTGCAAGGTTTTCCAGATTGGGCTTAGTTACCACTCCCCCCCCCCCTTCCTCCAACCCCTTCTCTTTAGTAAACATAGTTCTTTATCACCAACTATATCGAGCCGGCTCACACTGTGGAGCATGCGACAAAAACCCCGTCTTGCTGTGATTTAAATGGATTAACACTCCCTCCGCTTGTCTTTTCTGCGCCGGGCTCTCAGGGCATATAGACAGACTTAAGTTAGTGATTTATCCAACTCCATTCATTTGCAAGGCTGGAATGCATCTTTGGCTTGTGTTTTTTGCTGCTTCGGTGCTTGTGTATGATGAATGCCACGGCGCCTTATTGATTATGTTCCCTCCCCTGGTGTTTATCGAACACGCTAAAGAGAGCAAATGAAAAATGAAAGCGCTGTCTCTGTGTTTCCCTCCGCCTCTCCGTACGCTTAATGAAAGGGCTAAAATTAGACGAGAGGAGCAAATAGTACTTACAAGCTGAGCAAACTGTGGCTCTTCAAAGCATTTGTTTGTATCTCTGAGAGTCACAGGCAGTCCTCGCATTCCTCGTGTCGTTTTAATGGTCAAGTCATGCTGGAGGTGCAGAAGCTTCTATAATTACACGACGGCCGTGAGCTGTGAAATAATACTCCTGTCAGCCGTATTGATTTGCAGGCCACATAGTAAAGCTGTAACATGAAATGTCACATTTTTGCTGCATGCTTATGATAGTAGCTCATATTGATTCTGGAGCATTTACATTTAAACAGACTCATAATTTGATCGTCATTTAAGTGTGATGACGTGGGAGAGCTCTATGCTGCTGTGTGCTTAATTGTTGCTGAATTGTGTGATGAGACATTTAAAGAATCATTGATCAGTCAGTATTCAGAGGATGCACTCACTCTCTACATTTGTTTACCAGGAAACGCCAGAGGTGGTAAAAGTTCACACATTCTTCTCGTGGTCGGCGGTAAATATAGAAGAGCTGAAGTTATAGCCCCAAAAAAAAAGCCATTGTGTCTGAATGTAGTAAAGCAGAGTATGAAATAAAAAAAGGAGCTTAGAATGACTCTTATCTCTTTTCTGTTTATTTTTAATGCTTGTTTTTCAAAGTCTCCAAGCCTGTTATTCTCTGGCCCTTTGAGGTTAAAGTCGGTCTTTGTTTTTTGGAAGGAGGTAAATAATGCAAAATAAGAATAAAAATAATACAAAGAGTTCAAAAGAAGAGAATATGCAAGAGGTTAAAGTAAGAAGCAGTCAGAAAAATAAAGCTCAGATACCTGAGAACTGATGCACGATTATCAAAGTCTCGGTCTGAATGTGCTCTGGTGGCAATTTCTCTCCCTGATGGTTGATTATTCTTTGAATTGTTGCATTGATTGGATCCCTGCACACATTCTTTCTCTCCTAATTAATCAAATCAACGGTCTGCATATTTTAAGACGCGATCAAATCAGTTCTACTATTTCTTTATTCTTCAATCAGCTTCCATTAATGATGCACTGCCATCCATCCTCTCTTGATCTGGATGTTGTTTTTACTTCTTTTTTTGGTGTGCATTGTTTTGTGAGAATATTTTTACCTTTCTGTTTTATGCCATGCCTGCTTCCTTGGAGCACTTCCACTCCCCTGTCATTCCCATCAGAACCTCCATGCTCATGATTTTTATTTTGGTCCCATCATTCCTTTAGGCCACCAACCTGGCTCCCTCCTCCACCAACAATGCCACCCTTTCCTTTGCAAGTCCTGATGTCTCCATACTAAACTACCAATCTGCACTCTACCAGCCTTCCGCTGCCTCCATGGCAGCCGTGGCCCAGAGGAGCATGCCCCTGCAGCCGGGGGCTCCCCAGCTCTGCGCTGCCCGGCCTGACCCCTTCCAGCAAGCGCTCATCGTCTGCCCACCTGGCTTCCAAGGTAAGGAGGTCTCACCGGTCACTATGCATTAGTCTAAATGGATAGATATCTGGTCATCTGTGCAAAAACAGAAAGTGCCTCCTCTACAACAGACCATAATATGAAGAAAAAACAGATTTAACTGCTTTTATTTTGTTACCACACATACTGCACTGCTTTGTTTTCTTTATTATTCCATCTCAGTGCACAGACATTTGTCCCTTTATGGTGACTGTTTGTTTTTCCGGTGCCAAAGGCAGTGTCAATCGTGCCATACAAACTGTGATTCAATGATAACTTAATGAGGCAATTAATCATTTGAAAGGATATTTGTATCTTTGTGTAACGCTTACTCAGCCCCGCTTTGTCTCCTCTGTGTTTGCTCTGGGAGGGCAGAAAAGCTCCGAGGCATCTTCTAGTTTTTTATTTATTCTTTCTGTGGGACTGGTGATAAAAAAATAATCTCCATTATTAGAAACAGCTTTTTTATACCATTGCCATGACTACTGTTTTTGTTTTCCTAAGTGGCGTCGCTATGTTTGAACACAGCAGAAGGATTTTGACATCTGTTGAATGCAGATTAATCAGCGTGCATATAGAACATGTTATCTTTTCTGTCACTGTATTTAACAGACGGCAGGCTGTTGGGTTTTTTTTAAATGACAGATGGGGGTGGATATTGCTATGTGTGTTTGTTTACATCCTCTGTTCATGTGCAGGGCTGCAGGCGTCCCCTTCCAAGCACACCGGTTATTCTGTGCGGATGGAGAATGCTGTTCCCATAGTGACCCAGGCCCCTGGTGCCCAGCCTCTTCAGATCCAACCGGGTCTGCTCACACAGGTAGGAAGAGATTTCAGCATCACAGAGAAAGACCTCATAGTTTCTTGGGGTCTTAACAATTCTCCCGCCTGTTAGACTTGGAACAGCAAGCATTATAAGCCTCCACTAAGAATAGCATCCGTCGATGGAAGCTGGAAATCACTCAATGTTCGTGACCCTGCCCCTGCTGGCAGCTGTTTTTTTTTTCCTGAGCGCATTCAGGCCAAGCTCTCCTGTGCATTGCTTCCTGCCTCTCTGTCTCTCGCTCCTCTTCCTCTGCCCCGCTCTCCTGGAGGCTGAGGCTGCTACGGTCTGATGCACACAAAAGGCAGGAGCCTTTCACACAGAGCAGGCCGTCACCGAGGCCTGCACAGTGGAGCCGGAGCTTTAGCTGCTAGTATACTGTTGTTAGACGTAACTGAGAGTGACTGAGCATCACTCTCTCTGCACTGACTAAAACACACACACACACACACACACACACACGCACGCACGCACACACACACACACACACACACACACACACACACACACACACACACACACATACTCTCACACACACACACACACACACACACACACACACACACACACACACACACACACACACATGTTGTACATCTCTACCATCACCACACCATCTCTTTCCCTATGGAAATTTCCATGAAGGCTTTAAATATCCCTGAGAATCCGGGGAGTTTGAAGCACTCCCTTATCTCCAGTTAATCATGCAGTAGGCAGGCAGGGAGGCAGCAGCGCTCTGTGTGTCAGTGTGTGTACGCGCCTGTGTTTCTGTGGTGGGTTAATCTGTCAGATACCAAATGGTGATTAGCTCCAGGGCTGTTTCCAAGTCAGGCGCTCCAAATTACAGGCCTCAGAGGATCCTGGGAGGTCAGGGGAAGCTTGAACGAGGCTCTGCATGACCATAATATTCACAACATCACGGATCCATGGAGATGATGGATTAATGAAAATTAGATATCGTACATAAATGAACATCAAGTGTAGCTCACACATTGCTAGCATGCTCTGCAGGTATCCACCCCTGTCTGCACACATGTTAAACAAAGACAGGCAATAGTTAATGTAAGCAGATGGTTTATATAGGCCAGCAGGCAGCACACCTAATAACTGGGTGTGTTGCGTGTGTGTGTGTTTATTCCTTTACTGTGGGAGGTCTTGCAGTCTTGGCAGACTCCTTGTTTTCTTCTTAGTTGCATGCTCCCCACCTGTGCCTGCACCCACCCACTGCTCACTGTTGCCCATGCAACCCCTTTGCCCACATTGGACCCATGCAAGTTTGGCCTTGAGCTCCCCGGGGTGTGCAGAGCAAGGGAGGCTCCGTGGAGGGAAGCAGGGGAAACCAGCAGGACCTTTATCTGGAGCAGGAATGCAGAAAATGTGGAAACAATTGGGGAGTGAGAGCTGGGGCTCTCAAAGCCCTGAGGTGACAAAGGGTTTTCACCCGGGGAGTGTAGGTCGAGGTGGGAGGCAAGCGGGGCCTGCTGATAGTGATGGTGGGCTATGAGAAGAAAGAAAACGGCTTCTTAACTGGGTTACCATTTCAGGGCAGACAGGCTGGTTACACAATGCAGACGCAGAGCGAGAGAGGCATGTAGAGTGCCAGGAATGGAGATAGAGCGAGCGGGAGGCGGAGGAGCAGGAGATGGATGGATGTATTAGAGTGTCTTAATGGCATGTTGATAAAAGGCCGTGGATGTGGTCTTGGATGTAAAGACCATCACCAGCTCCAGAATGTTCCATTAGAGATGTCAGTCATCGGAGCACAGACGAGGCAGCTCTGCTGGCCTGCAGATGCCCCCCCGCCGCACTCAGACAACAGGCTGCGAGGTTCTGACTCAACGTGCCTGAGACAAAAAAACAATCCAACTTCCACAAGCCAGAAACCAGAATACAGAGTGAGCAGCTACTTTGTGTCAGAATAGAATCGAAAGAGACAGAGCAGAGCCTGCACGTAAATACAGAAATAAAGGTGGAGATAAAGTTAAACGACAAGGGTAAAATAAAGCTACTGTAGCACATGCAGCGATTATCTGCTTTGCATTTTGTGTGCTGCTGCTCTCTCTCCTCTTTCTCTTCCTTTTTTTTATCGTCCTTCTCTCTTCCTATTTAAACCTGTGTGTGCTGCAGCACATACTGATGCTGTTGTAAATAGATGTGCAAATGGTATTAAAGGAACAATTCATTAGCCCTGACATTAAAGTGCTAATCAATAGAGCTGCATTAAACTATTAGGGTTACACACACAGTAATACACCAACACGCTTAGGCATGCATGCACGCACACTCATCTTGGCACATCTTGGGGCGTAATATGCCTGTTTCTCCTCCTCTTGTGCATCAGAAATACAAAGTAGCTGCTCTCCCAGCAGCTTGAGCAGAACTACACATTTAATTAGAACATAGGCTGATTTGACACGAGTCAAACACATAATCACACTAACACTCATGCACTCACTCTTACACATGCACACACAGAGAGGAGCTGCTGTACTTCTTTATTAAGTCCTGGTCTTATCTCTTTTTGTTGATGGATGTCTCCTTGAAGCCGGTGGAGTTCATTTTGCATGCCCAGCAGCGAGTTTAACCAGCTGTTACTCACTTTTGAAAAACGTATTGAGATTTATCACAACACTCCAAAACGTATCAGCCAAGTTCAATGGGTTCCTTTTTATTCATGCATGTATTAAGTTTAAAGTAAGACAAGCTAAATTAATTGGTCAAGTGAATCATGCATGACTTTGCAGCCCCATGTCAGCTTTTTTAAAAATAAAATCAATAAGTGTCACAGCTTGGATTTTGTGTTACATGGCAGCTGACTGTTCTTTCTTTCTCTCCATTTGTGTCACCCCCATTTTCTCCTTGTTTTCGTTTCTCCCCCCTCTCCGTGTGTTCTCTCCCCCCCTCAGCAGGCCTGGCCCAGCGGCACCCAGCAGATCCTGTTGCCTCCAGCGTGGCAGCAGCTCACCCACACCTCAGTCCAGCATGCCACTGTCATCCCCGACTCCATGAGCAGCACGCAGCCACTCGGCAACTGGAGGTGAACTACACTGCTTCCTTACTTTAAAACCGCTCCAAGCCAGACTTAACCTTTACTGATTTGTGGATCTGGAGAGCATTCATTGATGTCTGAATATTTGTGGCCTCCAGTTTTTATTCTACTTCACAAAAGGATTTCGCTGGATAAATCAGTCCAATAGGTTGACATGTCATTTAAAGCTCTGAAAACAAAGCACTTTGTGAAATCACCTTTCTACACAGAACATCAGGCACAAGTCTGTAGCACAGGTCACATAAATTGATTCCAAAGGCCTGCAGTGGTTTTATGGCTTTTATAGGTCAAAATGTTTCCATTGGAAGATGGTTTTGTATTAGACTGATTGACCGAGGAGCCTGTACCTCCGTGACAGCCTGTCCTCTATCTTCAGTGAATCACAGTCCCCATGTGAACACTGGTGCTTGTATAAGAGCAGATTTACCTCGGGGAGATGGGATATATGTACACGTAGAGGCATCACGTTGAGTACAGCCTGTCACTGCGATGACTCGATAAAAGGATGGATAGATGGGAGAAGGCGATCTGCAGGGAGATAAGGCAAGGATGCAGGTATATAATGTGTATGTTCACCACAGCCGGGGCCATCAGTGCTCAAAAAAACATTCAGAGCTGTCCATCTGTGACCAGACACCCTGTCTCCACCCGCCCTCCCCCCTCCTGTCCAGTGGCAGCTCTGTTGTCCTCAGAGAAACGATTGGGAAAGTGTCGCACTTCCTCTGCAGAGCTATCGCTCCACAGCTGCTGGTGTCAGCTCCTCTGCCCTCCATCTCTGCTCCCTCCCTCCCTCACTCCCTCTCTTACTTCTCTCAGCTTCTTTTAAAGTTAGCTGCTGCCACCTGCTGGATTCTGAAGGAAATACCCCTCTTCTCTTCCATCCATTTATATCTTGCAGTAGTTTGTACTTTACCACCTCCCATGCAGGTTTATTGTTATTTTAGTAACATGAGATTGTGTTCTGTTTGCAGGAATCCCCATCCTCATGGCAGCCATTATAATCCCATCATGCAGCAGCCAGCATTGTTAGCCGGCCACGTCACTCTCCCATCAAACCAGACGCTAAACGTTGGAGTGGCACATGTAATGAGGCAGCCCCCAGCCAATAACAACTCCTCTTCCAAAAAGAGCAAACAGCACCAGATGTCTGCCAGGTACGCTCAGATGACTGTAGACTTACTGTAAATCATCATACTGACAGCTGAACATCACCACAAAGAGATTCTTCACATCTCATGGCTTTTGATATGGAGGTCTTTGATCTTCAGCATCTGTGTAATTTCTCCTCTCCATCAGGAACATGTCAGCCTATGAGGTGTCGTCCTCTCAGGCGGTGCTGTCCCCGCAGCGCTCCAAGCGGGTGAAGGAGAACACGCCTCCCCGCTGCGCTGTGCTACAGAACGGCTCAACCTCCAACTGCCCGCCCCAGCAGGGCTGTGGGGGCAGCAGTTGGGGGGTTAACGAAGCGGAGCAAGCTTCCAGCACCACCCACGACCATCAGCACCAGCATCACGTCCCCAGACAGACCATAATCATCCCCGACACGCCCAGCCCTGCAGTCAGCATCATCACCATCAGCAGTGACACGGACGAGGAAGACGATCACAAACAGAAAAACAGGTCAGTTCTGTTTTTTGAGGCATCACAAAGGGGATAATCATGTTACTGTAAATTGCTGCTGAAGCTTCTCAGGCTTGTGAAAGCCACGTGACTTTTCAAAACAAAGCACATTACAGAGGATTGAAGTCACAGACAAGAGCTGAGACATGTTTTAAAACACGGCATGTGTCAGCTGACTTACACCTATTTAGGGTTGCCATGGTACCAGAGTTTTGTTTCCAAAAGCAGTAAAAATGAGTCATAATTAATACCTGTTTTTCGTTACTATGGTAAAAAAAAGTAGAGGCCCAATCACCTTATTTTGGAGAATTGTTTTGCCACTCCTGCACACTGAAATGTTGCCAATGTATTTGCAGGTTAAGACAGTGTCACCTTCTCTGCTCTCTGTGTATGCTAAAGAGACGCCAAAATAAAGTCAGTCATTTCCAACCGGGTCTCTGAGTGGACCTTCGTTGCTCTCGCTCTCTCAAAATATGTCTTTTCAAAAGCATCTGTACTTTTATTCTAGATACTATCAATCATTAAAATAACAGAGATTGTTTTGTTTTAAAGTATTAAAGTATCAAACATTTGAACAGCCTTGAATGTTAAGGCGATCAGGGTTTTCAAGAGGCCTCCTGCAGAGTTTTAAACTGGATCATCACGGCTCCATAATCTATCCAGTGTCAGGTAGAAAAAATAAATTACCAAGATACCAAAGTGCTGGTATTTCCGCGTGTGAGAGACAATTCATGCAATGGGTGGCTGGGAAATGTTGCCATTGAACCCTTTAGGATTAGAGAGCGGATCTTATCTGTTGAAAAAGAGAAATCAAGCACAGGTAGACCTAAAGGATAGTAAATATCTAATAATGAATTAATGTTGATGTAACTCAAATAAGAAGTAAGATAAATGTTTGAAATTCCATTATTTCGCTTTTAAAATAAAAGTTGTTAGGCTTTTATTTTGAAATTTTGTACAGTCTTAAGCTGAGAGTACTTTACTTGCTGCTTGACTTCAAACCTGCTTTTATTTTGAAATAAAGTAAGGCTAAGGTTAGGGCTTAAACTTAAGGCCAGAAACAGGAAGTGGTTAGGGATCCCAAACTGAGGTCAAACAGCTCAAAGGAACGGTAACAAAGGTCAATGTCTGATGTCATAAGGTCAATGTGTGATGTCATCAGGTGGATATTACTTTGGACTCGTCAGCTGAGCTGTCAGAGAGTTTGTTAAAGTGAAATGAGACATTCAAAGATGCAGCAGTGTCCTTCTCTTACATCACTGACACTACAGGGAAACACTGAGGACGACTATCTACAGTGAGCCTAAAGGGACAAAATAGCACAAGATTAATCGTGATTAAAAAGAATTAATAGATTATTAGACTGAATTAGACTTAAATTAATCACGATTAAGTAGTTAATGTTGACAGCCCAAATTATAAGACATGTTTGGTAACATATGTCAGTGTCACTGATATCAGATGACCATTAAAGACTTTGACTTTTATAAAATGCTAACAGGTTCCACCCAAAGTCAGAAATGACACACCAATGAATTATTTTTCATCCCCTTAGAACGAAGCAAAATGGAAGAAGACAGCAGTAAGATATTTTGAATAAGCCAGCATGTGTTATATTACTGTGCTGATGGCTTTGAGTCACTCGAGTTGATTTCTCACAAACGTTTCTCTTTGTCCTCCTCTTTTCTCCAGATCGTCGACGAAGCAGCGGAAGAATGTCATCAGCTGTGTGACGGTCCACGATTCACCCGACTCTGACTGTTCCAGCAACAACAGCCCATACACTGTGGAGTCCAGACCCCCCAACAACAACAGCTACGACACAAAGACCACCATCCTGGACAACTACAACAACGGAAACCCCCGCACCATCATCATCCCCCCTCTCAAAACCCAGAACGGTGAGGTCCCCAATGAGTGTGAGCGGCTCATGCCAGGTAAAGGCCTGTCAGAGTTTCTTTCTTGAACTAAAAACTGAGATTATTCAAGCTTCTTCTTCTAAATTAATCACATGTATCCTCTCTTACAGAAGCAATGAACCATCTGAATTCAGCGTACAAGTTCAAATCCACTGGCATGGTGTCTGGCAATAATCACATACCAGGAGGCTTGGCAGGAGGTGGGTCCTACCGCCAGCGCTCAGGGCCCCACCACCTCCAGCAGCAGCCTCTCAATCTCAGCCAGGTAAATCCAGACGTACATTTTTTACTGTACATGTGAAAATCTGTGAGCAAATGAATATGCCAGCTTTGTGACACATTAGCACAAATAATGTAAAACGGAAAAGAGTCCGATGGTGACCTCATGTACCAACCAACACCTTTAAATCTTATTAAGTGGATCAGGGTTCAATTCAAGAAACTGTGCCATTAAAGGCATCAATGGAGGTATGATCAGTTAAATAGCAGAGTTAGGCCTCGTGTCCACCTAGCTGAGAAGATAATCGTTGCACGTCCTTCCTGTCTCCATGACAACAGTTTGTTGACAACGGCCGCTGTATGACCGACACGGCTCTGTTACTTTTTACTGAATGTTTTATATTTGAGGTAGTTTTTTACCCGACACGAAGCAAAGAGGATGTGAGTACAATAGACGATCTGTAGTACAGGGAATATCATACATTTTGAAAAGAGCGCCCGTGACGTCAACAGCGGCTTTCTAAAAAGTTGAAAGATTTTCAACTTGAGCGCTCAGAGCGGCCGTGAAAAAGACGCTGGGCGCTTCTCTTTTCATCCAGACGGCTGCTGGCTGCTGGCTGCTGTGAACGCTCTCATTGAAAACAAAAAAGACGCTGGCGTTGCGAAAAAAGACGCTAGGTGGACCCGGGGTCTAAGATAAATAATCAGTAAGAGTGTAAAGTACAACAACGATAATATCTATAACGCACCGCCATATTGTACAATTTAAAAGGTAATCGTGCATGAGAATAAGGAAAGGTGAAATTCAGCATCATGAAGTCTTTCTCTCTTCTCCTCCTTCAGGCCCAGCAGCACATGGTAGCCGAGCGAAATGGAGGTCATCGGCGCCAGCAGGCCTACATCACCCCAACCATCGCCGCTCAGGCCCCGTACTCCTTCCATCACAACAGCCCTTCCCACACAGGCAACGTCCACCCGCACCTGACCGCCGCACACCTGCCCAGCCAGCCCCACCTGTACGCCTACACCACCCCTGCCGCCCTGGGCTCCACCGGCACTGTGGCTCACCTGGTAGCGACGCAGGGTTCGGCACGCCATGCCGTTCAGCACGGAAGCTACCCACCCAGCATCGTCCACCAGGTCCCGGTGAGCATGGGCCACCGTGTGCTGCCCTCCCCCACCCTGCACCACAGTCAGTACCAGGCCCAGTTCGCCCACCAGGCCTACATCAGCGCCTCGCCCGCCTCCACTGTCTACACTGGATACCCGCTGAGCCCCACCAAGGTCAACCAGTACCCTTACCTCTAGAGAAGACACTGACTGACACTGGAGAGCCTGACCCAGCTCTGCTGCTTCCCCCGAACCCCCCCCCCCCCCCCGCCCTGAGCCCCGTCTACCCCTAAACATCCTCTCCTCAACCTCAGACATAAACAGAGACAGAGGAACATGCAATCCTCATGAAACTGTCACGTATAACTTGAAGATATAACGACAGAGAGAGAGAGAAAGAAAAAAGATTGAAGTCTATCCAGAAGGGAATGAAGGGGTAGATTTTCAGAGGGGGACTGTTTAGTTTTCCTTTATATTCTGTTTCTGGAATGGGCCAGTTTTGCTTTGATTTGATTTTTCTTTGCTTTACTTTATGAGGAAAATGACATCTCACCAGTTTTCCAGGGAGAGTTTGAAACAGGCCCTTTTGGGGACATTGGAAGATTTCTGGTTTTTTTACTTTAATTTCCCCCTCTTAAACTGGAGAAGACGTGACTGTTGAACAGGGGTTACTGACTGGAAGTTCGGAATCCCAAGAGACTTGGGAGAAGGTGAAATACGGAAACCTGCTGCTCTTCAAAGAAAAAAATATTGATGGCCTTGAACTGTCTTAATATTTCCAAATCATTCGCGGTGTGGGGAGAACAGAGAGGAGAACCTCCTCCCCCCCCCCCCCCCCCCCAACCACCGCCCGCTCCACCTTCTCCGAGCCGAGGAGGCTTCTGGAAATATAACCAACAGAAGACAACAAACTTTTTAGCGTATTTATAGATCTTTTTTTTTTCTCCTTTATGTTTCACCTTTATGACAATTCTTCAGTTTTAGCTAGGTGTCTTAGCTGGGCCCCGTTCTTAGAATGTAGCAGTCTGCACCCGTTTGTTTAAGAACAAAACCTTTTTCCTTATACCAATAGATTTATTTGTTCCTCTTTTTTCAATGTGATTGCACAAAGTGGTTATAATAACATAGGCATGTACAACGTGATTGTCTGTGTGTGCTACTGTCAGCCATGCGTGTGTAGTCCACCTCTTCAAAATTCTCTTCAGTCTTTAGGTTTTTTGACATTGTTCCCTCGTAGTGCCTTACAGATAAACCGACACAGTTTACTCGGCTTGGATCCCGAAAGCCACAAGAGACTAAAGCTATACTTAGAGAGACGTGTTTCCCTGGTTTGACATCCCAGTCGGGGCAGTTGTAGCTCTCTTCCAGGTGTAGGCTCAGCCCTCGCTGTTCCTTTCCCTTAATGACAGCAAACTATAAGTGATGAAGATTAATGTCAGAGTTGATATCACGCTGTGTTTTTTTTTTTTTTTATTACGCGTGCATGAGATAACTTGCCTGGAGTACTTACCAAAGTCATAGATAAACTCTTGTTACAGTTGCTCTGAATTGATGTAAATATGGAAATGTACAGTAATGCTGTAGCTGTAAACCTCAATCACAGTGACACCCAAAAGGTGGCTTTAGTTTGAAATATTTGGGTTTTTTTTTTTTTAAATGTTTTTAATCCCACAGTGGGGAATTCATGCAATGTGATCACAGAGCAGAGATGTTAGCCTGGTTTTCATGCAAAGGGGATGAGTTACAGTACAATGTTTGAGACACAGTAGAGGTTGTGTTTTTTTTAAAGGCTAAAAGCTAGTCCGAGAGAAGGGCCTGACAGAAAGTGATTGTTGCCACGAGAGTGATGCTGTGAGGCTAGAGATAGTCATGCTGCAGAGACGAGACAGAGTATCGAGGGTTGTTTGAGAGAGATACTGTGTAGGCACGAGTGAGGGGTCTGGTTGAAAGCGTAGGGTCAGTTTAGGTAGAGAGCACGGAGGTTTCGGGGGGCGACACTCTCTACCTTAAACGGGACTAAAATGGTAGCAAGTTGGCACTGAGCAGGTTGATAGTAACACTGAGCCCGGTTTGGTCGGTAGGCGCCGCAGGGGCACCACCTCACCTGAATGCACACTTTAATGGATCCTTTTGTTGATGTCATTTCTTGCAGTTTGTTTCTTCGTTTCTCCAGCAAAGGTAATTGGATGTTATTCGTTGAGGTTTTGGGTAGCAGCTGCAGGAACAGAACAGGAGGGAAAATGCCACAGCGTACACCTGGAAGGGCACCTTGTGGACGATTAGTTGTCACTGTCCATTTGTCTTCGAAAGCAGGTACACCGCAGACATCACCACGCCAGCTGAACGGGATACCTGAACACTTAGAGAACCAATAGGGCTGTCGCTTTGTGTGTCTGCTGCTTGATTAAACAAACATCTTTTTTTTTTTGTAGCCAATGATTCAAATAATCTCCTCTGTTCATCTGTCCCCACATCAGAACTGCTGATGGTTTAGTGAACCCCCCCCTCCTTCATGGTATGCCATAGTACTTGCATTTGAAGTGATTATTTCTTTTCTTTTTTTTTTACTTAACATTATCTTGGACTTTTTTGACATGGCTGTAGTACAAGTTTTGTGTTTATTTTTTAGAGATTGTTGCAATAATTCTTGTGGATGTTTTATCTGAGTGTGTGTGTGTGTGTGTTTTTATTATATGTCAGGCTCATTTCTCTTTTGTAACCTGGGGGGGGGGGGGGCTGATGTACAGTAATGTTAAGTATTCCTTGGAGATGGGTGCACCTGTGTAATCGTAAGAGTTAAGTTTGGTGGTAATCCACGGGGCCCGTGTAGAGGGGGATGCTCTGACTTTAGGAGTGCCACATCTGGGTTTGAAATCCAATGATTTCCCTTTTTTGGGGGGGCCCCAGAAAAGGTTTGTCATCCTGGTACTTGTTTCCCAAAAAACTCTCCACTCCCCTTCAGGTCCAGCATGCAAGCCTCGGGTGCAGGCAGTGTAAAGATGTGATTACATAGTACATTGCTGGTTACATCATACTTCTCTGTTTTTGTTTTTGTGTTTGTTATTTTATTGTATCTACTTGTTTTCCTCTGGGCCTCTAGGGGTCTAAGCACACAGGCATAAGGGAGATGATTTTCCATTGAAATCTTTTGGGTCTTCTGTTATGAGACAGACTACTGAAACATTCCACTGTTGGAGGTGTTACCCACGCTACACTGCTGTCTGTCCCCTCGCTGGTCTACACTTTGGGGCACCATCACCATCATTCTAGGACTTTTTTCTCGCTCCTCTCCACCAAAGAATTCAACAGATTGATCATGTACAGCACAGTGCGAGTAATCCACCACAGTGTTGCTGTAGAGCAGACATGCAATAACTTCTGGTGTCATCGTTAAATCGCTTTAAAGTGCTTTTTTGAGGACATTTTCTTTAACATACAATTCAATGCATTTGTGCAAGTACACCGGGAGGATTTAACATACTTAATGCATACAGCACAGTTATTATGTTGTGTTCGTTTTGGACGGAGCTGCAGTCTGTGTTTAAGCTTTTTTTTCTTCTGTTCATTACTCCTCACACTTTGCCCCCTGTTGACACTGAATGATCAGCAATTCTCTAACCTCTCTCCAAATTACGAAGCCGGTTCTTTTTTCTTTCTTTTTTTTATGTTGTTGATGTTGTTGTAACTTTATTGGTGTTATATGAAAAAGAGTTTGTAAAAGAAAAAAGAAGAAAAACAACCTTGTTTTACATTAGCGTGCCATTGAATAGAATGATCTGTGAAAACTATTAATCAAAAATGTACCAACTATACCTTTAAAATAAGGTCACCTGCACAAAATGAATGTAATATGTGACCTGCTACATCTGAAATGGCTTTAGATCTTTCTCAGTGGGTGACCGTTTCATTTCTACACCATTTGTGGCCATGCATGATGCAATAATTATACATCCGATCTCCAGCAAAAATCCCATATGAGAGGCATAATGTAAATGACCACTCCCCCCCCCCCCCACACACACACACTTTATATTGGGATATCAAATGATTACTATTTTCTCAAATCAAACACCTAATTAAGAGAAGCCCTGTGTGTGCAACATTGTGGAAAATGACTTGATGTGTTTATGATTCCTTTTGTCTCTTACTCTGTTTCACATAACCAATGTTTTTTGTGTTTTTTTTTAAGAAAGCGGAATCAGACATGTGAGCGTAACGTAGATCGAGTGACCTTACAATTACCAAAACGTGCTTAAGTAGAGTGTCAAAATGTTTTGTGTTGTTGAAATGAGCATAGCCTTCCCAGCTGGCAACCCCACTGTTAAGAGTACTGCCTTCCAAATAACCATCAGTACCTCCAAATTAAATGGTGACATTTTGAATTAGACAAGAGTAAATAAGGCCGTATTTAGTAAATAAAAATTGTCTCCCGCAGAAGCATGCGAAACACTGAGAAACATTCCTGAGAGCATGAGGGGACACTGTGCTGCATCACAAACTCAAGTCCACTTCAAGCTCTGCAAGACGTGAACACACACACACACCAACCTGCAACACTCTCACTGTTAAAAATCCTGGGACAACGTCGCTAGCCACTTCCCAAAGTACAATAGGGTTAGGGGACAGGTGTTAGGTGGATTAATCATGAGCTGACCTACTCGCTGTCACAAGGAAATCCATAATCCTGCTACGCAAGCATTCTTAAAGCCCTTTTCGGATGAGAGTGTGTGGTGTGTTTATTTTAATGTAACATTGTTTCAGGAGGCCTGCGCCTTCTTTTGCTGGCTTTTCCTTTGGGGGAATTCAGGGTGAGGAGGTCAAGGTTTGATGCCTTCGTTTGTAGCGGGCGTCAGATGATTAGTTTGAATCTCTCTATTTATTCTAATTTGAAGGTCAGGCGTAGATATGAAAATATGTCTTGTGATTGTGCTTTTACGTAACTGAAAATTGAAGCTTACTCTTGGAGAGATGTCTGGCTGACGATAATTGTTTTTGCGGTGTCAGTGAACGTAACCTAGAAGTAGTACTGTAGACCAAAGCTCACAATCAAAGACAGATTTACACTGCAGAAATATTCATCTCATGCCAGAGGTCACGTTAAAGTCACAATCCCCTCTGCTACATTCTCAAATTCGACGAGTGAATCCCTGCTTGAAGAGCTTCCTCGCACAAGATAAATTCATGCAAGTGAGAGAGGAGTTGATGACCATGTTCTGGAGACCTGAGAGTGCATCAAACCCTGACCCCCGTGTTGCGTCCATTGCTGTATGCTTTCT